CACGTTTATCTGCATGGTTTAATATCATCATGTTCACAAAGTGTAAAAAGGTTTTTTTTTTCATGCTCGAGCTCACGTCACGTCTTCACGCTGATCTCTATTTTCGTTCACTTTGCATAWTGCAGCAAGTGCAAAGCAAGCATATCAGTGGGGCTGAAGCACAACATGTTTCTGAAATGTGCCATCAATTATTGACACAGTTGTGATTGCACACGTGCAAAGTGTCAAGCTTGAACAGAAATAGATCTCTTTGATGCAGATGAAGCAATTTTTGGAAACGCTCTGCAAATAAGATAAAAATCAAGTTTAATTCTTCCTTGCTTCACATATCACACCATTCTACACAAACCCTGAGAGCTAAAAAAAAAAAGTCTATTTAAATCTTGTTCCTTCAATTCATTCGCTCACTGTGAAAGTTTCTCAGTAAAAGTTAGTATCAAATACTTGACTATGTAAACAAATATAACGAGACTATAAGATGCAAAAAAAGCAAGTAGTCACAGAGCACGTTAGTGGGTGGAAAAGTAGTTTGATTTGACTGTTTGAGTTGTACTGTATATCTGTGTGGGTGTTGCCATTTTTACTCTCCTCTTGCAAACACAAAGTGTTTCATATAGGAGACAAAAATTGAGACGAAATCCTATTGACTAAACAACAAAAACGTTACATAATGTGTGTGAGCACAGAGAGAAAAATAGAGCAAAAAATMACATGAGCACAGTGGAGCAGCTCATTTAGTTTCATTTGCAGGGTTACTAAGTTTCAGTTTGTTTTAGATCTGTTAATAAAATCCTTGCCAGCATTGCTAAAGGGTTAAAAAAACACTTGACCTCTTTTTGGTGTTTTTACACAATCCATCTACTTCTAAGACTAAGATTGCTTCTTTGTTGTAACAATGCTTCTAGACAATACGTGAAATCGCAATGACGTACTTCCTGTTAGCATACGCCATTTTTTGTGTGGCAAAACAACTCGTTATAAAACAACTATYTTGAGTAGTAATCAGAATTGCATAAAGCAGCAAAAGGCCAGTCAGTTGTTGTGTGGTCCATTGTTCTATAGAAAATCCCCTTGGAACAAATTAAAGTTCTAAATGATTCCAAAGAGCATAGGTGACCTATGTAAAAGATAACGATAAACTTGCATATAAATCTTATGACTGGCACCTGATTGGTAGCACCTAGGGATACCAGTAGCTCAAAATGTGTGTCAATAGAAAGAGCAGAATAAGCTATTTGGAAATAACAGAAACAATTTGGCAGTATTTTAATGTGTGCAACCCACTCAGTTTTACTGCTCATCCCACAAATGCATGTTCCTTACAAATGTGGCACCATTTCATAGGTAAATTAACAGGCTTTCCAATGGTATAAGAGTTYCTGCCAAGAAGCATTGTTACAACAAAGAAATAATCTACCAAACAAAAATGTCCTTGCTTTTTTGTGCTAAGTTTATACGTACATACGTGCATACATCCAGAAATCCCTCTTCTAAATGACACTTTCCAGCTCCTCCTGGGGGATCCTGTGGTGTTCCTAGGTCAGAGAAGATATAGATATAATCCTTCCAGTGTGTTAAGGGTCTCCTCGCTGTGGATCATGCTTAAAAACATCCAGAAGAAGGCAACTATTGGATGCCTAAATCACTACAGCTGACTCCTTTCAACGCAGAGGAGCAGCGGCTCGACTCTGAGCTCCTCCTGGATGACGGAGCTCTTCACTTTATCTGAGCCCGGCTGKCCCAAGTGGCTCTGCTGCTTCATCTACATAACTCATGAGTGAAGGTCGGAACAAAGATGAATCAATAAACTGAGAGTTTTGCCTTTTGCCTCATCTCCTCCTTCACAGCCTCTTCATCGTGTTATTGGACTGTTGCAGCTCAGTCAAATTAGTCATGAATTATTCAACCCTGCGATGATTCTTTTCTTCTTTTGTACAGAGTGGGCTTTCATAACTTGCTCACTGCCACTGTTCAACCCATTTATTTGTGTTGCCTTTAAGATTTAAACTAAATTTGTGAAAATATAGGAAGAAAAAAATGGGTTATTTTTTTCAACATTACCAGTTTTATCTTTGTGGTATTTTTGAAAGGAATCTGATTTTATAAATCATAGCAGATTGCTTTTTACATGATCACGTTTCAACTTCCTTGAAGGTTTGTAATGTGCTTTTATGTAAACTCGTTAACGTGCTTCTATACTTAGAATGACCGTGTAACACAAAGAAGCTCAGATCTGTGTATTTGTAGCCAGCAGCCTTCTGTTTATTGCACCATATTCTGCCTCATGGGTTGGCACCGGCCAGACTTAGAAAATGGTTTTTAAATACCCTCTTACAGTATTTACCAGCAATCTGTCATCCATTAACATGCCTTTTGGACATCACAGACAAACCCAACTCTAATGGAATATACAAAGAATAATTTATCAAAAAGTCTTTATGAAATGTCCAAGCTTTGTTTTGCTTTGTTCCGATTTATTTATTTATTAATTATTATTTTTTGTTTGTTTGTTTTTGCCTCCTACATTCCTCTGCTTTCCTCCCATGGTATCAAACAGAGCTCTCTCTCTCTCTCTCTCTTTGCAGCTCTCTCTATAAACAGTTGAAGGCCTCCTGTTAGTTGGTCTTTGTCAGCCCTGACACTGTAGGGAGTAAATTCTGCCTCGTTTTATAAGGGACATGGTGCAATATYTTTACTCAGCTGATTGGTTCTTTTAAAGGCTCTGATCACAATAAATTTGATCACTAGTTACACCWACAGCTCATCTGGCATCGTGGTATTTTGTTTTTAATGAATGAAAGACTTTTAGTTTATTTTTTACATCAGTATCTTTTGTTTTTTTTTCCCCCTATTCTTGTCTCAAATGCTTTGGAAAAAGGGCAAATGAAAGCTCAGGAAATTGCACTGTTGGTTTCATCTTTAAAACATGTTGATGCTGTTTGGTGCGACCAAAGAAGGAAAAGAGAATCAGCCAAAACACTCAGTTTAGGATACTTCTGCAGCTCCTGTCAATMCTCATTCATAGCATTGTGTGCTTAGAAGTGGGGGGAGTAATATTGTGCACAAATTGTTCTTCTACAGCCTGGCACACTTTTAACTAGCCTGTTTTTTTATCTTTTCAGGGAGGATCCATTCAAAACAGGAAGTCAAAGAGYTGCCTAGAGCTTATAGTGAGCAGCGACAATGAGTTTGGCTACCAACTGGCTCTGCAGAAATGCACAGGACAGAAATGGTTCATCTCAAATGTGCTGTTTAGCAACTCCCTATAATCGGCAGCTGAAAAGAAACACTGGAGTCCGTTATGTGCACGTTTCTGCACACGTGGCTGTGCGTGTGATGTGTGAAAGGATGAGAAGCAGGAGAATGGTGCACAGTTGAACAAGTTCATTTTGAGCGACATAATGTCCTCTGATGAGTGSTCAACATCCCATCCTAAATGTTAAACATTTTATTTCACCAACAGGATCAGCCATAGGTTGCAGATATTTTGCAGAATTGACAAGAAAGTATATTAAGTATATTTTGTGGTAAATGCTGTTTAGTCAGACTTTTGTTGACTTTAAAAAAAGGATAATTGGTTTGAGATTTTTKTGTTCAGATTTGCTACTGTGTAGCAAGTTTTCTGAATCTTTCCCTGCTGTAATTATTTTTAATTTAGTGTCTCAGGTTAGTTGTTTTAATATACAATTCAGCTGTACAGTTGTAAAAGAAAAGTTAGGATAAACTGGAAACTGATATTTTATAYATGTAAAAAATGAGATTTTGAAATATTTATAATGTATATCAGTAAAATAATTTATGTAAACTACAAAAGTACAAGTGCCTTTTATATTTGTTGCCAAAGGCACGACCATTTGTTTCACCATCTTTCTAAAATAAAACAAATAAAACTACTCAGTCTGATTATTTATTGTGTGTGTGTGTGTGTGTGTGTGTGTGTGTGTGTGTGTGTGTGTGTGTGTGTGTGTGT